AAATTCTTTGCCGTCGTTTATTATATATTATGGCGAAATGGCTTCGGTAAGAGCAAATGTCACTTTTACCACTAAACTCAATTAAACGGTTACTTTGTGCTAATTATAAATTGTGGAATATAGCCAAAAATCTTCTCGCTCTGCACTCACCCCAAAGCAAACATCAACTATTAACTATGTAAAACTCTAAGTCTAATAATCAAAAATAATTTATTTATTAAATAATGAGGCTAAACAAACAACAAAGCTCTCATGGTAACTGTTGAAAGTAACTTTAAGTTCAACTCGTGAAATGAAAAATGAAATGAATTAACTTATGGCTAACGACCGGTCGACCGTACGTACGTACGCTACAACTCTCGCTATAAGTATACTATAACTCTATAAATTAAGTGCCACAGAACATTTAAACCTGCGAATTGGGTATGTTCCTTTCTATGACTTACAGTAAGCTTCAAGCTAAGATTTAATAGAACGTCATTTAACTAGTGGGGATCTCAGGCTTAATTCAGTGTTTATAAACATATTGGAGGTAATGTATTGCGGAATGACAGGCTGAGCGTTTATACCTGGCACACCAGTCCGGCCCTGCACCCTGTGTGCGGCGCTCTTTTTATGTCAAGCTTCCTGAATTGAACAGAGAGGAGCGATCAATAGACTAGCAGTAGCAAGCTAGTTAACTATGTAAAACTCTAATAGTCAAAAGTAATTTATTTATTAAATAATGAGGCTAAAGCTCTCATGGTAACTGCTGAAAGTTTAACTTTAACTCGTGAAATGAAAAATGAAATGAATTAACTTAATATGGATAACGATCACCGTACACGTACGCAATAACCCTCGCTATAAGCATAAATATATAAGTATAAGTATAAGTATAAGTAAAGTGCCAACTAACATGAATCAATTATACAATTTTGGAATCCAGCAAGTCCTCCGACGTATTTTGCTGTTTGATCGGTCCTTGTTCAATGTTCAGCAAAAATGAAAAAACACAAACAATTTCACATTTAACGTTGACCCTGTAATTTATAAATGATTATTGACTGACACTCTCAGTCTCAGCTATACGCACTTTGATATACCTTATCGGACGTTATATTTGACCGGACTGTTTGTGAACGGACTTTATTTGAACGGATATTAAAATGAACGCTAGGGCCTCCAGCGTCCAATTAATGCCCGTTCAAATAAAGTCCGACAAGGTACATCTTCACTTGAACATCACAGAATATCTAAACCTGCAAAGTGGGGACGTTCCTTTCTACGACGTACAGCTTCAGCTTCAAGCTAAGATTTAATAGAACGTCATTTACCTGGGGATATCAGGCTTCAGTGTTTATGTATTTTATAAACACAATGAAGATAATGTATTGCAGAATGACAGGCTGAGCCTTGCCCAGTAAGAACGTTAAATAGGACCTCGTACGTACGAATAGAATACTATTAGTATATAATGGGCGCAGCTGAAAAACTAAAGATCCCTCCCAACGCCAACCAACTCATCACAGTAACTCATATCAAGAAATGCGTGATGAGGCAACAAGTGTACAAACGGCAAGGGACTTTCAATTTTTATCTGCTGAGAGATCGTCTGAATTCTATAACAGAAAATTAAGTCACAAGTGCTTCATCCAAAAGAGGGTATAATCCTCCAAAAGAGGGTATAATGATGTAAGTGACCAGGTTACCCGTCAACACGTGCTCTGTCTCTTGATTCTAGAAAAATAAAAGTGAGGATAACGATAAAAGAAAAGTGAAGATAACAGTGGTATCATGGTATGAACTTCATTACAGCTGTAGATAATCGACACGTGCTCATGCTCGGTAGAGGAAGGATTTGAAGATTTTTAAGAAATTAAGGGGAAATTCTTCAGTCGGGTTTTATCAAAGAGTCAAATGTGGGATGTAGCCTGTAAAAAAGTAGTAATGATCTCGCAGCTCGCCAACAAAAATTAAATGGACAATCATAAATAGTACTACTAGTACTATTTTCTGACCAATATTATTATGAAATGCGATCGGAATTACCAAACGGCTTCTTCAGGAAATTCTCGCTCGTCAAATTGCTTTTTAATTTTATAAACAATTACGATTACAGACACTGATTGTTGTTTGTTTTTACTGCAACGACTGGACTCAAAGGAAAACAAACTACGCTTCGTCAGAACTTCTGATACTGATAACTGGATAATATCCGGTTGGAAGAGACAAGGGAAAATTAAACAGGAAGTTATAGTACAGTCAAATCCGTCCTAATTTAAGCCTTTGTCGGACAAAATTCGCAACAAAGCGATTTTAACGGGATATGGTCGGGACAGGTCCCAGGAATCATTCCAGAGAGTTCCCAAAATCCTCGACTTCAGGAAAATCCACAATTACCACTTTTTTACCACCTTTTTACCACTTTGGTTTTCCGCAAATAAGTCACGTTCTGAATATCCTAGAAGATTTTAGTTTAAAGCATTGTGTTTAGAAAACAAAGAAGAACAACTTTTTCTTTAACAACTTTTTCAAAAATAAATTATTTAATTAATTAATTAAATAATTAATAAATTTTCAAATATTTCAAAAATACATTTTCATAAAGAATGTTCACAATTACATTCCACGTATATTGAACTAATTTTTATGAAAATTTTGAAAATTTTGGACTTACAATATTTTGGACTTGTAAAATTTTCGAAATTTGTTAAGAAAAACCAATTATTTACCACTTTTTACCACATTGAATCTCCGCTAATAAAACGACTTCTGAATGTCGCAGAAGGTTCTAGATTGAACCAATGTGTTCAAAATATAAAAGATAACAACTTTTTATCTGACAATCTTTGGATTAGATAATTAATTGATTTATTAATTAAATAATAATTAAATTTTTAAAAATTTCAAAATATAATTTTTATCAAAAACATTTGCCGTGACGTAAAACGTAAAATGAATTTACTTAAATAACAGAACATACACCGTCACATAGATAAGATAACAGATTTAAAAAATCCAGATAAATGGAATAAACGGTAAAATATCCAAATTTGTACGATACTATTATAGCTTATAACTATTTACACATCATATCTCTCGACTTAGTGTTGTGCTTAACTGAATTTTTAAACTGGTTTGTTTGCTTCTCTTCCTAAAAAAGTTGAATCTGCTAAAAATCGAGGACTAAAATCACACGAAATAGTTAATATTTTGACAAAAGAAGAACACATCGTGTGCCTGATACTGTACGCGTGCAGATTCTATGTTAGTAGCTGTCAATTAATATACAATAATAGTAATATGTTTTTACCGTTTTACTTTTAAGTTTGATTTCAGCGGAGAGCGCAACTAGAGGCATTTTTAACCAATACAATGTTTTAATTCACCAGGCAAATAAGGAGTTAGTTTCGGTGAATAGCTTTAAGAGGTCCTATTCTTTATCCTGACGCCTCTTATACCTTGTATAAATAAACAAATCAACGCACCACAGGTTGGATCAACAACCCCTGGTCACTGAACGAAATTAAACGGCAGTACAACGGCATGACTGATTCAGCTCAGAGTGACGTCTTGTGTGTATTATTGCAGACAGTGACCATAGACCAGTTCCAAAGATTCATATCTAGCCTAGCGGTTAGAGCATCCGCCTTCTGCGCAGAAGGTTCAGGGTTCGAATCCCAGTGTCACCTAGTCTAGGGAGTAGCTAAGGATCCATTGGATCTATGCGATCTCAACGGTCGACTCAACCGAATGATAGGAAACTTAATTGAGGGTTAAATGAGGAGGGGTACCTGTTAAAAGTTCAAGAAACTTCCTAGGATACCCCTTCAGTGCATACTGTAAACATAGTGCTATTAACTATTATATCGGCCAATGAAGAGGAGTCCGTTGTAAATGAGGCAGGACCATCTTTAGTCCACGAACACAGTTTAAACAAATTTTCATTCTGTAACGTAGAGATCGCACCAAATGATGAATCCTCAAACCGGATTACAGACAGGGTAAGTTGGTATAGTACACATACGTTAGGCTCTTACTAAGTTACTAATTCGCTCGCCCAAAAATGTCACGTGACTTTCTCCGTAGCTTAGTGCACTAGATTCCCACTATCGGAATCGTTCTGAATAGCCGATCCTTACCAACTCCGTGGATCCGACTGGTGGTGTCTGATCCAGTGAAAGCGTGGCACAGAAATCGTGCAGAAAGCCCAATTACGGTATCGTAGCACCCTGTCACTTGATAAGCGATTAGGTAATCATTGATAACCCAATCAATTTCGCTAACGAGATAAACAAATTGCTTGATAACTTCGTCATTTTCAATCCGTTTCGCACATCGTTTTGCAGATGTTTTGATTTGCAGAGAGGCAGTTGAGTGGTCTACAGGTCTAATCAAGTTGATGTTTCTGTAATTGGTGATGATACTGATTTGCTTGTCATTTTACTGCACATGACAAAACACTTTGCATTTGACCACCTACTGTTTCTCACCACCAAGAGATCACTAGATGAAGCTAGACTTTCAGGTCTTGAACAGAAGTCGCAATCTTTAACAGCAGACATCAAGTGCGAACAGCTCCTGCCAACATCTGGGGCAGCTGAACAACATTATTATCGTGTTTACCATCAGCTGCAGGCGTGGGATGAGAATGACCTAGATCCGATAAGCTGGGGATGGAAGATGAACAAATTATTCAGAACAATGGGACACATGTACCAGTGACCACTCTTATGAGTACAGCTCCGAAAAAGCTCATTCAAAAAATCAGTTGCAACTGTTTAAAGTCAGGTTGTGGCAATGCTTGTTCATGCAGAAAAGCAGGAATACATTGTGGATCAACCTTCCTCAAATGTCAGGATCCAATTGCACCAATGTGCCAGCTGAGGACTCATAAGTTAGACTCTTATCTAGTATATATGGTTATATAAAGTACTACTTCGATTTCCCGATTAAATTAATGAAAATTTGTTAATTATTCGTGATATGTAATTTTAAAATATTTTGATCAAAAATAATTTGTATAATTTTTGAATATTTGTTTAATAATCGAATTAACTAATTAATTAATTATCTAATCCAAAGGTTGTCGAATAAAAAGTTGTTCTCTTTTATATTTTTAACACATTGGTTCAATCTAGAACCTTCTACGACATTCAGAAGTCGTTTTATTAGCGGAGATTCGATGTGGTAAAAAGTGGTAAATAGTGGTTTTTATTTACAAATTTCGAAAATTTTACAAGTCCAAAATATTGTAAGTGAAAATTTTCATAAAAATTAGTTCAATATACGTGGAATGTAACTGTGAACATTTTTTATGAAAATTTATTTTTGAAATATTTGAAAATTTATTAATTATTTAATTAATTAATTAAATAATTTATTTTTGAAAAAGTTGTTAAAGAAAAAGTTGTTCTTCTTTGTTTTCTAAACACAATGCTTTAAACTAGAATCTTCTAGGATATTCAGAACGTGACTTATTTGCGGAAAACCAAAGTGGTAAAAAGGTGGTAAAAAAGTGGTAACTGTGGATTTTCCTGAAGTCGAGGATTTTGGGAACTCTCTGGAATGATTCCTGGGACCTGTCCCGACCATATCCCGTTAAAATCGCTTTGTTGCGAATTTTGTCCGACAAAAAGACGGATTTGACTGTACTATTAGGAATGTAGGCAAATTTTCGGCGTCAACGCCATCTTCAGGCTCAAATTATTTGTTTATGTTTTGTTTTGTTTATCAGTTTCAAAAAATTTGAGCCTGAAGATTGAAGATGGCGTTGACGACGAACATTTGCCTACATTCCTAACCTCCTGTTTCATTTGTCTTTGTCTCTTCCAACCGGATATTATCCAACTATCAGTATTTCAATCATGATACTAATAAACAGCGAACTACTCCATCATTTGAGAATTTCTGTTCTTGAATTATAATGTAAAATGTTATTCATAGGGGCTGCAGAAAATTAAACTGGTCTCATTTATTTATAAGAACTAGTTGTCACTTATAGCCACGTTTGTAATTCTATTTGTCAAATATCAAGTGCAAAAACGTATCAGAATTTTTAAGACCAAATATAACGGCACCGCGATCACAAGCAAAACAAAAGTTCAGCCACACGGAATGGATACAACTACAATTCACAGTCACAAGCTGTAACATTTACAGTGTATCATAACCAACCTAAAAACTTATAAAGCTACTATCTAGTGTAACCCGGCCTTCGGCCGGGATTGCACTGCCGCAGTTAAAAAGGGTAGGAGTAATTACCCGCTGATTCAAAACCCGCATACACACACACGGATTTCTTAAGATTATTAAGGTGATAATAATATAACGTGGGAGCGGGGAGGCGGGCGCGCGCTACTGCAAGCGAGAGGGCTCTGGTTAGAGCAATATCATAACCAGTGCTGATATGAGTGCATGCTTTAAAACAGCAGATCACTTCTTAGATCTTTAAATGATCGGCAAGGCGGTACTTATCGGCAAGGATCTGTCAGAAAATGATTCATTTATAAAGATTAAAGTCAGAACAATCTATGAAGTTATGGATCAGCTTACGTCTGATAATTGAATTCGTAAGAAATAAGAACTAATAATATGATGTATATTGACGTATTATGACGTATGTATTATGATGTATTGTGACGTATTGTGACGTATTTGTGACGTATTTGTGACGTATTTTCAAGATTTTTGATCAATTCTTGATTTGGATGATTAATTTTGTTAGTTTTTAAACAACTTGATTAATGACCAATAACATTGGCCTTAGAATCCATGGTAGAAAATCATGGCTATGGAGTATGGCATGGCGCATTGGCAACTGCCAAAATGTCCGGTAAAAGTAAAACTAAAATTACGTCCGATAAGGTAGATGATTGATTTTTGTGCCAGTATATCGTATCGTATCGAGAAAAAAGCAATTTCTAAAAAGCTAAAAGAGTAAATGAAAGTTGATTCACAAAAATATGAACATCTAGCAAGGTCAATGAGCATGGCACAAGACACGATTCAGGTATTCAAAGTTCTATTCCCAAAGAAAGCCTAGATAAACGGAAATTTGACCAATGACCAATCAGTGAGGTCGGTGAGAGTGAAACAAGTCGCCATCAACGTACTGGAAGCAGTATATCCGGAGAAAACTTTGATGCAATGACAATTTTGAATATGTCCTACCGGACATATTCGAATTTTAGCTTTCCGCGACCCAAATTTCCCTGTTAGTGTTATGACTTATGCGTTTTGACTGAATTTTTCTTGAATGACCATCTTACAAGATCACTGAGCGAAAGGGCAGATTGTCGGGTTGTTAAGCGGCTGTATAACTTGGATTAATAATTGTTATTCCCTAATTCATCTGACTCAAGTTTGAAGAACTTTTGATTAAGGCTATATAGTGCTAAGTGCTACTTGTATTTGTATCATTTCTAGCGGTCGGTCATAACTTAACAAATGATAGAATCAGATTGTGAGATTATTGGGCCGGCAGAACGTCCGGTATTGTGTTAAACTGTTAAATAACTATTATAATATTGTAATTATTGACCAAGGGATATTTTAATTATTGACCAAGGGAACTGACCCGGGTTTCAGGAAAGGAGATCTGTTAGGTAGCGTGGTTCCTTGAAATCTGGAGAATGAGTCGTTGAGTCAGCTGCCAGCCTCGATCGAGTTCGTCGTTCGAGTCTAAGTGTCGAAGAGGGACAGGGTCCACCAGAATTTCCAAGTAGAGAGAGAGAGAGAGCGTCCAAGTCACAGGAGGGAGGTAAGCCAAAACCAGAGCGAAAGAGTCCGGGCCTGAAGAATGAGACCAGAGTTTATAGTTATACCCCCAATTATGCCGGTCTTTTATGGGTTTTAATGAAGACGTCGTTATCTCGAATAGTTAATTGACTATAGTTCTGATTGAAAGGACTGTCAGACAGGACCTGCATCAATGTGTGGCGATTTTATTCCAGGCCGCTTATCTTGATTACTTTGTCACACTTTGGCTTTTGCTTTGTGGGGTCTTCATCCGGAATCGGGGAGGTTCAATTAGCGTTAATGGTTACTGTCAATTAAAAGTGACTAGAGTGTGTTATAGTGAGCCACAGTCCTGGAACTTCGACTAAACAGGAGCAAAAACAGGTGGGAGCTAGCTAGGGAGCATGGGTTCTTACACTGAGGATGGCACAAGACACGATTGAGGTATTCAGATCAGTTCTATTCCCAAAGAAAGATTTGATAAACGGAAAATCATCAGAATATTAAAAGAGATTTTGGAACATTTTTGAAAAGAAGATTTTCTGTCGTCCCTTTGACCGAAATTTCGCGGTTTTGACAGAAAGGTGATTGGGTTGTCAATATATCCATGGTTTTTATTATTTCCCTCGCCCAACAGTTTTTTGGGCATTTTTGAAAAGAAGCTTTTCTGCCGTCCCCTTGACCGAAATTTCGCGGTTGAAAGGTGATTTGGTTGTCAATATATCCATGGCTATCCATATATTATTTCGCTCGCCCAACAGTTTTTTGTCTGTAACTCCTCAGGGAAGCACTTTTATCCTACATCATGGGGGTTATTTGGAAACAGCGTCCAAAAATACATCGAAAAAAGACACTTTCATACCTTCAGGGCCTTTTCACATCTTTTTAAATATTTGTGGATCAATTAAATGGGAGCGGGCAACGCATGATATTACCAACTTAAAATAGGTCTTACCTTAATGTAATTTAACCATGAAATCTGTCGAGTTCTCAAATGATTCTCAATTTATAGTACATATGCATTTTACAATTTGAATCTTGTTTTATTATCTAGAATTTGATATTTGACACTTCCGTCCCTATACCAACATATTCAACGTTCGAAGTAAGACTACCTTTTTACAAAATAGAGTATCAGTAATATTGAACTCGTGTCATTTTGATGGCAATACTTAAAATTATCATCAAACCATAAATTACATCTATACTAGTTATGGTGACTCAACAAATGTATTGATAATAATATAATTAATCAACAAACTGTGACCAATAAACAAGCTGATCGGCTATAATGACATTTTAGAGTTAGACCCAAAATATACTACATAAAAAGATAAAATGGTCTCTATCAATATACTAATATAATAGGGGTAATAACAGTTGAGACTATATCAAGAAATGTGCCTTAACTATCATGGTGAACAATATCATTCATCAGACAGACGTTTTGCCTCGAATTTAATGAAATTGGCGTCACATAGAAACCATTTTAGCATTTTACGAAGTCTGTTAAAATTAAAGCTTTAAAGCTAATTATATTTATGGATAACTGAATTCGAGAGCCCTTAACTAAGTTTATTTAATCTTTCTTCTGCATGCAAATATACAAACATAAGACGGTATTAATTAATGAAACATTCCAACTATAAATATAATAATAATAGTTATAATCATTATTATAATAGTTGGAAATATTAGTAACAATAAATTAGCATCATAAAACCACTAAAATCACAGTCCTCAAAGTTCACTACAATTTTCTAACTCTGCTATTATTCGTCAAGTGCACATAATATATAACTGGTAGGCAAACAACTTGTTTCACGTTATATATATAAATAACATCTGACGTCACGTGGTACTTGAAACTGTGACATCACTCATAATCTAACACGTCATTCGTTAGCCATCACTTACTCAATAGGTAACTAATTAATTATCAGATGTTAATTAATTATTTAATTAACAGTTAATGATGTCACGTGAGGGAATGCTCCGGTGACAGAACATGTAAGATATTACTGCTATCAGCAGCAGCAATTGTGGGTCTATTATGGGACAAAGGGTGGGTCTGTTCCGTTTTAGAGTGTGACAAGGGCAATGTTTCCGTTTTAACATGGGAAAGAGGCACTGTTTCGTCAGATTTAGGGTAGGGTTTAGGGTGAGCGAGAGGTTGGAGCGGCTTCGTGCTGTAGCCCTGGAGGGAGCTCGGGTTTTCTGTTTTCACCACTAATTGTCCTTCATCCTGAAACACATAAGTCAGTATATTGTTATGTAGTTATGTGGAACCTACGTGTAATTCAAATTGAAGGTATGTAACGTTTAGCAGTTATGATTATGTCGTGTCTAATCTGGAGTATATGATTTCCAGCAAACCAAGTTTAAAATGAATAACAAATTCGACAGCTTATGGTGCTTGTTATTTTAGTTGAATTATCTATTAATCTAACTACCAATTAGCTGCATGTTAATCATATAAATCAGTCACCCAAATAGCAAACAGCTTTAAACACCAATTAGTAAAGCATTTCTGAAAGTACCTGCATATGAGCTCGCTTCTGAAGACCGTGAGCTCTCATACCGTGCTTCCTCAGTGTACTGAGATGCCCAAAACACGTGCCACAGTGGGAACACTTGAACGGCTTTTCTCCAGTATGTGTCCGGTGGTGACTCTGGTAAAATGGGAGGGATTAGTCACAGTGAAATTAGTTTTTACTAAGGCTGACATATTTAACATATTTTGCATATTTAGCAGATGTATATTTCTAAGGGATAGAATTGTGTAAGAATTAACGGCGGATTCATCCTATTTGGGTGTATAAAACTAGCTTATCCAAGTGATTCCACCCGGTAGACCATTTGCACAAATGTCTGATCATGTTAAAAGATATTTCAGGTTGTTCTATTAAAGATAATAATATGGATCTCATAGGGAGGGAGTTCTAACTAAGCTTGAAAAAAATAACTGTAAAATAACCTTCAATGAGCTGGAGTGACTGAATTCTCTTCCGCAGATATTGCATCGGTACGGTTTCTCTCCAGTGTGTATTCGAATATGTGCCTGAAACAAGCCCATGGTTTAATCTGAGATGTAAACGAAATCATATTTTCATTCAGACAGAAAATTAATCAAATTGAAAGGTTCAATTAATTAATTGACCCTCCCATTCCCAATATCTTACCTTCATGTTGGTGCTATCACTGAATGCTTTCTGACAGTGAGTGCACTTAAACGGTTTGCCCTCCACATGGGTGCGCTCGTGTCTACGGCAACTTGTGCTGTACGCGAAAGATTTACCACAGTAATCGCAGGTGTATGGTTTTATACCACTGTGGACTCGAGTGTGCCTGAGGGTGGGAGTGGGTGAGATAACGGTTCAAAGTTATGATAACAGGAAATTGATATGTGATGATGGTCAGTCGTTGTGACGATGGTCAGTTATTGTGGTAACAGATTGTTGTTATGGAAACGAGTCTTTTATTTGGTCGTTTCAACTGTCAGCAATTCAAATAAATCTACAACTGAATGTAAAAGTTTTGAAATCATTTATATAGATATGTTTCGGGCAATGGAGAATGAAAATAATGAATGATAAGCACACGAAGATATTACCTTTCGAGTTTGGCGTTGCAGGAAAACGCTTTGTCACACTTGTTACACTTAAATATTTTGTCATTAACCAGCATCGTAGTGCTGAAAAGTACGAGTTGATAAAATTTAATATTCGATGAGAGTGTTTCAGTGCGGACATTTCAAAGGTTACCCGATCCTTCGCATGATCCTTGTGTTGCCTTTTCCATAAATGATTAAGCTACAGCTTTAAGATTTAAATATTTAAAGGCTTAAAGGACAATATGAGAAACAAGAAAAATAAATCACAGGGAAATATTTTCAGTTAAAATATAATACCTGTGAGCGGGAAGGGTTGCTATTCCGTTAGTACTGGAAATAGTGGGAGAGAGTAAAGGCGGTACTCCCGCCTTGTATTCATTGTTGTACCATGATTCTGTGTTCTGGTACCTGAAATATTACATTTGATGACGTCATGTTATTTTATGACGTCATGTTATATTTTTTTTGTGATGACGTCATGTTATGTTTGTTGGTAGTATTATGATATATTTGATGACTAGACGTGATATTTGAGATTTCCCTGGATGATCCCAAATACGGATTGGATACCCATTCAAATTGGGAGACTATAAAGGGTAAAGGGGCTTAAAAAGTTAAAAGGAGATTTTAAAATAACATTGAATGTGCGTGAAAAAAAAAATTTTGTTCGAAATTTTGATCCAAAACCAAAAGCTTTTATTGTGGGTATTTTGTATAGAACAGTCAGACTCCACCTCACATCGCCTCCTCCCCCCTCTCTCATATCGTGTGGCTTTCATACCAATTTCCTGCTTCCCTCTGTCTGACTTCACCATGATTTCTAGACATATTCATGCCAATAAAAAGGTTCACTGACTAGTGAAAACAGGTGTTACAGGCCATTCTAACCCTTAGCTTCTACGCCCGATCGGCTCTTGATTAATCACATTTAACACCTCACTTGTTTAAAAAGAAACAATACTCCACGTGAGAAAGGTGCGATTGATTGTTACTGTGTTCTAATTGGCCGGGATATGTCACGTGGTGTGAATACTGGCTTCTGATTGGTTTGTTTGGGCGGGTGCTAAAACAGATTGGTTATATGACGGATCTAACGTGTTTTAACGCTGTGTTGGCCCGTTTGAAAAACTTCGTCTGGTTGGAGGTCTGCAGAGGGAGGTGGCACGTGGTTAAGGATTTGATTGATTGGTTTGGTTTAAAATCGGGCAATATGAATAATGGGTGTGGGTTAATCTTATTAGTAAACAGTTTACATGGTTCAAATAAAAATTTGACAGGGCAATTTTGAACTAATTTACCTACTTCCCTTGATATAAGTATTTACAAATATGTACTCTTTATTTATGCAACCGTGCCGCAAAAAGGCTCGCAATTCAATTTATCAATTTACTGATATTTTGAATGGTCTAAAACTTTTGTTGGATAAAGTTAAAACATTTAAAGTTATCTATTTCATTTGACAATTTCATTTGACAACGCTGTACGGCATTTAATATATAAAAATCCACTGAGACTAAAATGAGGGCTCACCATAACCACAACTAAAATGTTTGTTACAATTTATATTTATTAATTAATACTTATAAAAATAATACTCCTGAGAAAAAAACTCACCAGTGGATCTGATTGTGAAGAGCCAAAGCAGTTGACTGAGCAAACGTTGAGGGACACGTTCCACAAGGAAACGGTCGGTCATGTGAGTGCGTCCTCACGTGCGATCTGAAACACAAGGAAATATTATGTAAGTGTTTCCTCACGGGTAATCATAAACACAAGGAAATATGTCCAATCATAACTTCGTCTTCCTAACACACAAGAATGTCTTAACACTCCTACACAAGTTTTAAGTTTGGCAATTAAATTAACATATCAACTTTTAAAAACCCAAGCTCAAACATTTTTCAAAAATCTTTGAATTTGATCTCCCAAACAAAGCACTCTTAGACGTCACACAACTTAATTACATCATGGCAATCACGTGATTACCACGTGATTACCACGTGATTACCACGTGGTATGTAATGAGATAACACTAGAAACTAACCTTAGAGTAGCCGGGAGAGCAAACACCATACCGCAGTGGTCACACCACAGAACTTCAGAACCAGAATGAGAACATGCTCTCGTGGCGATGTGCATCATAAAACTGGAATAAAATGCAGCTTAGTAAAATAGGTAAATGCTGGCGAAATGAAGTGTAAAACTTAAAGGAAGGAGCTAAAATATGTGAGTTACGGATTTTTTAACACCGACCTCAACAGTGATTTGGAAATACATAGAAATATCTAGAAGGAGGCCTCGGATGGTTTTAAAGGTTATTAACACGCCCGGGGGCGAATGAAATTAGAACACTTATTCTACAAACCTGTAAGGGTAGCAGAAAGTCCTCTGACAGATCTGACAAGAGTAGCAGCCGTCGGAGTCAGGTCGGAGTTGTTCCAGTCTGTAGAGTCCGAGGAGGTCTCCATAGCTGGACTCGTACCACAGCAGTAGTTCCTGACCTTCAAGGGGGAAATTTCGGTCACTAAAACACAAGGAAATGTTCTGTAACGAATAAACTAGGGTCGTCAGCTGAACTTCAACATCGTAATCAATAGAATCCAGTATTCAGTATTGGGAATATCATAAGAATCATGTGACACACGTGATGGTGCATTGGTTTAAACTCGCCTACATGACATGATGGTGCAGTGGTTTAAACTGGCTTTTTTATGGTTGAGAGAGTGAGTTTGAGGCTGACTGCAGTCAGCCTCTAACATCATGTGTAGGCGAGTTTAAACCACTACAACATCACGTGTGTCACATGATGATCACGTGTGTCACATGATGATAACGTGTAACTAACCAGGGAGGATGTCCCGGATAACTTCAAAGTAAATATCGTGCTGTATCTGGAATGCGACGATGTTCTGTTCTTGTTCATGTCGGGCCGTGTTCACGTACCTCATCCAGCTTCCTGAGGTTGGTTAATTGGTTAATTGATTAATTAATTAATGGGTTAATTGATTAATAATTGATGTGAATTAATTATTTAATGTTAGTTTATTGCTTTTAGTTAATATCCTGATCCTATTATCACAATTCTGCCATTTTGAATATATGCGACACACTGTGAAATGTGAATGTAAGACGAATGATTATCTTAAAATATTTGTTATTCTGACAAATATTTTTAAGACAATGAAGAAGTCTATTTGATGTAATTCATCATCAGAAATGAAATAAGGTGACTTGTAAAACTATTGCGACGATCAAATTTGTTCACTTTTAGACAGCCAGACGGGTGACACGATTTCAAGTAAACATTTCCCTTGATTTAATTTGTCACCAATTAACCGTTACAGTCATGTACTAAAATACGACTAGAAAACACCCAGAAATCAGATCATTACCGAACGAGAGAAGATGTTTGTTCCTATCCTCCGCCAGAATTTCAGCTGTCAGCATATAATCCAGAGCAAACCACCCAAGTACATCCCAAATATCAAGCAGTTTTATCCCATCCATCTGAAGTTCTTTAGGGCTGAGTTCACCGCTTGAGAGATCTAGAACCTTCGCGGAGGTAGCAAAGGGTAAAACGTTGTAGGTAAGATCTGATATAGGGGTGGTGTGATCTTGATAGGAAGCCAGGTCGAAGGGCAATGATTTGTCCCCACATAACATTCTCATATCAGATATAGGTTTAATGTCTCCCTTGGAAGGAGAAGAAGGAGCGAGTGGTAACACAGTGTCGCTCAGCGGAGAGGGGGGAGGCGACAGTTTAGTAGTCTCCACAGATCTGTCCAGTCCGAAACACTGTCCTTTGTTGGAGAACCACAAATGGTTGATTGGGTGATCACGCAGTTCGCTTTTAGGAAGCAGTACACTAAAGTCAAACTTACTGTCCTTGGTCTCCACAGGGGGGCTACTAACCTGTTTTATAGGTTTCATGGGAGCTGCGCAACTGCTCGCTATACTGTTTATGTACTTCATCACAAATTCATCGTCCAAAGCTGCGTTGTCACCCTTCAAATCAGGAACTTGTTTTCTAGATATAAGGTCCAAGAGTTGATGTAGCGGAGAATGAATGCTTTGAAGCGGGTCGAATAACGACGGGGCGGCTAGTTGGAATGAAGCTGGTGGTACAATCTGTGAAGCTGACAACAGGAGAGAGGACCTCTGATCCGCGTCACTCATACTACAGTGGGGTATCTACACAACAAGTTCCTATTACACGCTCAGCAGCTATAAACAAGTCGACAAGTAACAATACCAGGAGGATCGAAACGTAAACTATAAAGCAAAGCACACGTCTAGTTCCCACCGAGCCCTAAACACAAATCCCCGCAGACAAATTTAAAATAAAATCTATCAAAACAAATGAGGGAGCTCGGAGAGAGGGGAGGAGGAGCGTTATTATGTTGTTTACACAGGCACCCAGTTCATGAGCCTTCGTATTACTCAAGTTTAGTGTTTGTCTATTCCCCTAACTCCATTACCGGGCATATTACGAGCCTTAAAATCCGTTAAGGGTGCCCTCGAGCGAGTTTAAAGGCGCCGAAATGGAAATACCAGGCATGTTGTTAACCGGTTAGGTCCTTAAAACGAGGCTTGCTAAATCACTGGGAGTTGGGTTCCGGAAGTAGGGGTTCAGTTTAGCGGGTGTTTGGTTTTGTGTTTTGACGTAGATTCGTGTAAAGTAAGTAAGTAGTTAGTTGGTAGGGGTCAGCGGAATGTTATGTATGTGGTAGTCAGACTCGTTAGCAGAGGTGATCTGATTATGGTGCCAACAATTTGGTGACCGGTGAAAATTCCGGGGCTATCAAAGTGGGTATAATTTCATTGTTCTAGATTTGGGTCTCGAATTTGTGCTTGTTGGGGGCGGCCTGCCGGCGGTTTAAGTTACAGTTAATTTTAATAGATTGTTTGTCTGGAGCGTTCAGCTTTGGTATTTGGTTTTTTGGTATTTAGTTGTTGGTAGTTTGTCGTAGGTCATTTGGTAGGTCATGGTTGTTTTTAAAAAGACATTCTTGTTACGTCTGATCGGTTTTTTGTTTATTTAGCTAACGTTTTCTATGTTCAAATCCGCTGGAGTAAGCTAATTGATGCCCGACAGAGGCGAAGTATGATTGCGTATCATGAGCTGTAGGATGTAGGATGATGTTGAAATAGTAGGATGTAGGATAATAACGATATATTTGCTAGTGATCAGTGTTATTAATCAGTACTCTTGTTGTTGTTGTTGTTACCTGAAGGTTCGTCGGACTCCGGTGCTAGTAAATAGTGCACTACACTCCCCTTGTTCTCAAATATCTGAAATGAAAACCATTCAGTTGTTCATCTTGTTTCTCAACAATAAATTCTTTGTGTTTGTAGTCAGTGGAAATAAAGGATCTGAACTTACTAATTACTTAATTACTTTTTCCTTACTCGCCAACAAAAGAAATTGGGAATGTGTCTTGCAACTGATGGTCATTCTTCCAATAATTGGAAAACATGATCTGCCTTGACTCCCGGAGTCTCGATGTACTACATGCTCAATGATCTCAAAACAAACTATCAAGAAAAAGAAAACCCTGAAAGAACCCGTACTGACCGGCCAGCAAGCTGAAGGATGGGAAGCAGCAGTGGGACGGGAGGTAGGTGAGATGATCCCAGTAAAGGGACCAAACCTAGTGCGTCTCTGGATGGGGAGGAGGGCCCACACCCCCATACCAGCTCCGGGAACATGGGACCCTTTTAGTGTGATATCCCGGGGGAGGAGGGTTGTTGGATCTATCGTACTCGCCTGAAATTAGTTTTACTTTTAGTTGGTGGTCATGTTGAAAATAGGAAAGTTTTTCTTGGTGGTCGTATTGAAAAACATTATTTTGTTCTGTTCGTTTTTCAGTTTGTACCAGCTTGAAATTTGTGCTGAATAAAACACACAGCGTCATCCCTAAATTTTTGCGGGAGAGAATATTTGGTTACTGTAGTATTGGAAGTCAGGAAAAAGTTGTTCTCCCATTCAGTCTTCTCTATTACTATAAAGTTAGACTCACCATGAAAAACTTTATATCGCTCTAAAAATTATAAACAGGGATCGAAGATAAAACCAACGCAGTTGCAAAACTATGATTCATAAAAAAACGAATAATTAAAATTCAACCCTCAGTATTTACTCTTGTTCTTAAGTGCCCTATAGACCATGTGACCGTATGTAATCTACAGGTCACGTTACCACAATCAACATAATAACACGGTCTGCACTGGGCTGGATCAGCTTTTAGGAGCGCTAATTGATTCAACTAAATGGATCGTGCTTATCTATGTCACGATTTCTTTGAAATACTTTATTTCAATTTCATTGTTGTTCGCAGGTATAAGAACGTGTCTAAATTAGATGGTTCTAATTTCTTAAAGGTTGCGACAGAAACGTTTTAATATCCACTATCAATAAATGTGGGTATAATACATATGTAAATATTTGTATATTTTTTGTTAGGTGGTTTGGTTTCGTGGATATGTAGTTATTGCAAGACAAAAATAAATATGCTTAACCATGAAAATGCTAATCAAAATCTGGCTGTTGCGAGTAGCACTAATCAAGAGACGATGTTGGTTCCCAAACTTGTAACCTTGTAAACCTTGTAAACCTTGTTCCCCCTGTTCCCCCTACACCACCATCTAGTGACCTGCTCTGATGACCCAATAATTTTATCAATTAGGTAGATTGGGTACGGACTGACATGACACTATTCAAACACAATGATACATCTTATAACGCAGTTAAAGGAGCTACAGTAGACACTGACGTTATTTAAATGATAAAACTCTCGGCTGATAACGCGGAGTCGTGACTAAGATAACTAAACCAAATAAAGAATACATTGCAAGTATTAAATGGCTTGTAAATGTAAATGGAACGTGCTCGAATGCTATTGTAGCTCAATTATGGACACCTATTTACTAATTTGATCGATTCAACAAGCCTGATCGTGGACGCGATGTCAAGCTAATGTGAATTCTTTCACTAACCTCCCGCTAGCAATAGGATTTAAAGTTTGGGCTTCAATCCAAGATTCAATTAAATTAATAAATCACTCACCATTTAAGTGTTTAAATGGGCTGCAACGAGAACAATAGTATAAATTGACAGCTACAACAAAACACCAAGCACCCCATTCAATTGTGAAAATAAAATCAAACTCTCTCAGGATCAGAAACCAGCCAACCAAAACCGCACCACATCACGTGCAACCAACTGTCCAACTGATGACCACAGTCCAGCACGAGCCGCGCATCAGCCAATCACACGCCAGAATAGCTGTCACGTGACAGTAATAGACCAATGAGAGAAGGGTCATTGCGAAGTGTTGTGCGAGCAAGGACCTTGACAAGCAGTTTGTCTAAACTGGTGCTAGCTCCGCCAGGTTGCACTCAAATGGATTTCACCGCACAAATTTACTTTAATTGTTGTTTTTCATGCAGTGATTCGCCATCATTGTTTACAAATTGAAGTGCAGTGTTTTAAGAAGGCAGCGTGCAGCTATCCCTCTCTTATCCAACCCGGACCAATCTCCGGTGTGTCTCTGACCGAGCCGAGTAAAGATAGCCGTGTTTAAACTCAAATCTCGTGCTGGCGATCGACTGCAGCTGGCTTTGTGACCGGGCAAATGCAAAACATTGAGCTTCTCACAACCGTCTATAGTGATGGTTACTCAAGCTCACAGCGCACACGTGCTAACGGTCTTTTTTAAACATAACACGTGTTTTAAACAAACCGGCACGTGCTTCCCCCTCGGTTGATAGATCGTGTGATTGTGATAGTTGTAATACAGAATGAGAGGAGAAAAAGCTCACGGAGAGGAGACTTCAGAGATAAGTTATGCTGAGGTGAAATACAGGTGAAGTGTCGCGCAACACCAGCAGTCACATAAGTATTTGCACAAGCATAATGTAAGTAATCCGGTGTAGCCACTAATAGTGATATTGTTAGTAACGTTATCCAGTATGTAACTGAAACGTGGAGAGGTTCCTGTGATCAGAATTCAATAGGAAATTATTATAGCTACTTAGGTAAATTATAGAGCTACTTGAATTGAGATCTGCAATTATACGTGTTAGAGATTAAATTTAAAGGAAACGTGAACAATTTGAACAACAATGAAATTGTGACTGTGTTGATACATTAATCAAGTTAGTTTTAATCTTAGCTATGACAGATGACTAGATCATTAACACTTACGTCTATCTTGTGTTTTTAACGATTATATGCTTTTTGATCGGATTATAGTTAACAAAATCTGGAGTTGCTCCGGAAATATTAACAACTTTACAACGCAAGGATCAATCATGTTAACTCATGTAGAACAGCACACTGGCAACGACTTTTAAGTTGAGAAGCATTATAATGAAAGTTAAACATTGAGCCTCTTTCTTTAGAATAGCTTAACTTCAAAGTTCAAACACTATCATATAAACGGAACAAACGTCAGACACAAAGGATCTTTAAAAAACAAGTTTAACCGCATTTATGGTTTATTATTCGAATATTGTTCCTGAACGTATTTAACAGTACGGTTTATATCAGAGGTACGTTGTATTTCCTATAATCGCAGCAGCTGGTTCTCAAAAAAACACATTTTTCCAATGGTAATATTTTGTGTATTTAAGTGCCTTCTTAAATGATTCTGCCACACGACAATCCACAGAAGATATCTCATATCGAATTGTATTCAGTTACCAGTTTAAGTCGCGGCGTCTCGTATTTATAAATGGAATTTACAGTCGTACGACACAAGATAGACGCCTCACATATTGTGGCATCGGTCCCAAAATCTACTTTTGGCTGTATCCGATGTTACATTCATTAGACATCGGAACTTTTTACTGCTACCAAAATTTTATTTTCCTGTTTTTAACGTGTATTAAAAAAATAGCATCAAGTCAAGCAACTCTGTTATCTTAGACGAAATAACAGCGTCATTTAAAAACCATCCTACTGCTGTACCTCATACGGACTCGTAGGTGACAGTGGAAAAACATCCGTGGAACACACTGGAGATTTATCTTGATATCTGGTCAGCAAGTCCATCTTGTTGTCTTGGTACCGTGTCAAGGACTCCAACTTGTTGTCGTGGCAACGGGTCATAAAAGATTCCATCTTAGGATCTTGGTTACGAAAACCCTCGTAGGATCCGTCAAGCCTCATTATACAACTAAACTAACAATAATCAGATTAATAAAGCAGTGTGTGATTGATGAACTATTTGAATCATGATTTAAAGATCGCCATGATTTAATCAAAATGTCTCCTAATGTATGAAAGAACTGCGAACTTAATGATGTTTAAATGTTTAAAATGGAGCAAAACTATTACAGTATTACTGAAAGAATATCGGAAGAAAATTGACTTACGTTATTAAATCTTTAAATGGTTCCATGACGGAATCGCAACATATGAAGATATGAGTAACTTAAAGTTAAATAGGCGATGTGCATTGTGCAATATGCATGTGCCATTTAAATTATGGAGGACAAAGCTCGGTCCTTAAATGGATGCCCAATTACCCGTGATATGCAGTAACCTATTTTAATATCTGTCATTGTGTAATTTAAACTTTTAAATTATTCAATGATTGAATCTAATGGTGTAATCTCAAAAAGCACTATTGAGCTCTCGATAAAAATCACTTGTCTTAAGTCACTTGTCTTAAATCATTTTTGCCACAAGTTTTTATTTCAGGTGTGAATGATTAATAAAACTGTCGATCAGCAACGTCGATAATTTAACAGATCTTTCTTTTTGAAATACAAAAACTATAAGCACGGCTAATTTTACTTGATCAATAAAAATTCAAAAATTTCAACCAGCATGACCTGAATTCCCTAACATCGAGGTCCATAATTATAAATGGTTGGCAAGACATGGCAGTATTTGAATATTGGTAGACCTATATAGTGTATAACCGCTCCAATCTGTGCTAAGTACAATATGCCATGAGGCATGCATTTCTGAGAAATGAGATAAAGAGCATTGCAGAAAAATGTGCTTGAGTATTCAAATTAAAAAGCGACAAACTGGAAGAAAAAACAGATCCAGCTGAGCTTACAGTAATTAGTAATGGCAAGTCAATGGTAAACAGCAAGCTACAAACTGAGGAGTTAAAAACTAGGCCGGAGTGAGAGGTTACGAACCACGGAACAATGCCTCTTCAGCACCCCCGCTTGCATGCTGTAAAGCGCGCCACTCTACCCCACGTGTCACCATAGCAACGCCACGTGACTACCCACGTGTAACCGAGGTGACGAAACCGCTCAACCAATCAAATCAATTCCGAGCGGTCACCTGACGTGCTGGTTGATTAACCTTGTCAAAGGAGTGAGTACTTGTCAAAGAGAGCTGCGAATTTTCCCCTGAACCGTAAACAAAAGAGCAGGGGTGTGACCACGAAAAGGAGCAAGAAAAACAAAGTGAGAAAATGAGATATCCCCACTCTTTCCTCTGCTTACAAACTACTTCCCTAATTAAACATGATTACGTACCTGAACTGAGCTGCCGAGTTTTAGCCAATCACTGATCTGGATATCAGTCAAGCAGAGTTTAATTGACCAATCAGATTACCTTACAAATCAAGTGTGACGAGAAGGTAATTGTTTATTGTTTAATCGGTTTTCATGTTGACCTTGTAAAAACAAACCTAATCGTATCGGAAAGGTGGGGCAGGGTGATTTACGTGCAGGCTTTTAGTTGCAGTATCATATCAGCAAGTAACCTTGACCCAGTATCCAATCAGTGGCCGCGAAGAACAACAACAAACTACCCTGCCAACTTCACACATGTGTATCAGACACTGTATCATGATATCTTCTTAGAGGCTTAGAAAGTTAGAAGCTTAGAGATTGAGGTTACCTGGCCTTGTAGAATTTGTAGACGGAGATGTAATCTTGAAATGTTACAAGTTAATAATTTTAATGAGCAACAAAATTAGTGCTGTGGTTTGTTGAAAAATAAACGACAATTTTAAATATGGGTACATGAAGCTTACCCCAAAATAACAGGAGCTACCCAAACGCATTATTTTCTTGATTTATCAGTGGTCTATCACGGCTCTTGACCAATGATCACTGTGTGGATGATGTGGATCCCAATACTGCCGTTTTCTCATAAAAGTAAGTCCAATTTTTCGAAATATGGCAATATTGGTATCAAAATTGTTAGTAGAAAATTCTCTACAACATGAGCTACATATTAATGTATGGAAACGTTGTTGCATGCAATTCCTAAGAGAGTAAGTATAAACCAGTTTAGAAACATTATGTTCGGACTTACTTCCTTTTCTGAGAAAATCTTGAAAATCTTCTGAGATAAGGAAGTAAGTCCGTGGACTTACTTCCTTATCTGAGATAAATGATCTGTGATAGGAAGAAGTAACTGGACTTACTTCCTATCAAAACATATGCTAAAACGGAATTTTAGAAAGCGATTTCCTCAAAAAGAACATTACGTAACTGCCGATCGATATTTTCGCATGAAATTTTCAGGATCGATGTATAATTACATTTCAAGCTTACGTCAGTAGAAGAATCTTGATAAAGGCCTCAAAAAAATTTGGTGGTCGATTTCTAAAAAACGCCGGATGTATTTTAGTCACAAAACATAAACATATAAGCAGTTATTGAGCTGGTAAATCTTTCAAAATTGATGGGTTTGCCTACATATGGGCATACTATTATTCAAAAACATTTATTATATATAATATAGTTATATGATATGGAGCAATTTAGATTCGTAATATCCCGAAATGAAGACGATGTAAATTACGTCCTTTTCTGAGAAAACGTACAGTTTATTATAAACTGTACGTGCATGGTGTCCACCACAACTCTTCTCAGGGTACCACTACTACTGGTTGGTTTGGTTGACGAGCAAAGTTGCTGCGGATCAAACGGTCGTCTGACGTGGGAACAACTCGGCTACCACCCTTCTACCTGACTCTCTGTAAAGTCATGCTACTGCATTGCTAGTGGTGTATATTACCTGCTGTACTCAGCAATCTTTTATCAAAACACCTTATCGGATGTTATTTAACCGGACATTGCGTGAACGGACATACTTTTGAACGGACATTTAAATGAATGCTTGAACTTGAAGGCATTCATTTAATGTATTTAATTCTTTAATTTAACTACCTTGCCCAACTTTATTTGCACGGACATTAAACTTGACACTTATAGATGTGGATACTGGCGGGGAGGTGAAACACATTTGTTTACAATTATAATCTCCGTTCGAATAAATTCCGATAAGGTATGCGAATTCTTTACACAGAATTTTCATGGTCCAACCTATCAACCACCGTACGCCCCTATTATTACATAAGTATATAATATGGAGTTACCATGGTGCCCCCCCCCCCTCTAGTATCTAGTATCTACACGGAGTTACCATGGTGCCCCCTCTAGTATCTACACGGAGTTGGTGTTATGGTGGTTGGTGCCCCCTCCCCTCTAATCTCTACACAGAGATGATGTTATGGTGCCCCCCTCTAATCTCTACACAGAGTTGGTGTTATGGTGCCCCCCCCCCTCTATATCTACACGGAGTTGGTGTTATGGTGCCCCCCCCCTCTAATCTCTACACAGAGTTGATGTTATGGTGCCCCCCTCTAATCTCTACACAGAGTTGGTGTTATGGTGCCCCCCCCCTCTATATCTACACGGAGTTGGTGTTATGGTGGTTGGTGCACCCCCCCCCCTCTATATCTACACGGAGTTGGTGTTATGGTGGTTGGTGCACCCCCCTCTAATCTCTACACAGAGTTGGTGTTATGGTGCCCCCCCTCTAATCTCTACACAGAGTTGGTGTTATGGTGCCCCCCCCCCCTCTAATCTCTACACAGAGTTGGTGTTATGGTGCCCCCCCCCCCCCCTCTAATCTCTACACAGAGTTGGTGTTATGGTGCCCACCCCCCTTAATCTCTACACAGAGTTGGTGTTATGGTGGTTGGTGCACCCCCCTCTAATCTCTACACGGAGTTGGTGTTATGGTGCCCCCCCCCCTCTAATCTCTACACAGAGTTGGTGTTATGGTGCCCCCCCCCCCCCCTCTAATCTCTACACAGAGTTGGTGTTATGGTGGTTACACTCGGCTGGGTCTGCCCGGGGAGCAGAGCTTGACATTCCCTGACCTGACCTCCTGCTTGTTAGTTAAAATATCGCACTTCTCACCTGACTCCGACCCAGCTGCCCCATTGGTTCAAATCCGGTCACGCTGTGGGGCTGCTGGAATCCTACTGGTCGGTTTCTCACGGCAAGCCACTGGTTGGGATTTGGACGGAAGAGGAGCAGAGAAAATGCCGTCCTGTTTGAATATTCATGTCGAGCCCACGCTAGAGTATGAACTACAGCTGTGAAGTGTAATTTAAAGTTCAACCTCCAAAAGTGAATAGAGTTTGTTGCTTGATGATTCGGTCACTGGCCCTGATGGCGTTGGAGTTCATCTCCTGGTGGTTTGAGGGAACAAGTCTAGGGCTAGACTCGTTGCTATGGTCATTGCTCTCATTTCCTGGTTACTGAGGGGGTCGACTGTCGCTATAGGATAATGAAATCTGGTATAAATTAGACACTCCCTCAAAAAAACCACAGGTGATTTAAACTCTAGTAACCCACACGCGCTGTTTCCTATTTCATGTATCATCACCCGTATTACCTGTGCTCAGAAATTTTATTATTTTCATGTCTCTACATCCAGAGTGGTGAAGAATCGGCTAGACAGACTTGCACTTTGCAGGATAGTAAAAACCACTGACGGTGGTTTCATTGTAGCACGTATCGGAGGGTCAGGATTTGTGATGTACGTGACTAGAAATTACGGGACTTTCCATTTAACAATCCATAGCTTGTTACCTTATTGGATATGATTTTTGTAGGTTTTCAAAAAAAGCGTCTACAATTTTAACCGGCATAACTTATGATTCACATGAATCGATTTAGAAAAATAAATTTAAGTTTGACGACAGTTCGATAAAATGTAAGTGACGAGAGTTATAAGTTATAACTTATGACTGATGAGAAAATACTCTAATGAAATTGAAAATGATGATGATGATGAGTAACCGTTGTATCAATACGTAAGGAAGTAAGTATAGCTTATAGTGATATAATACACGCGGAATTGAAAGATGAAATTAAGTATTAACCATCAACATTTTGCTGTCAAAGAGA